ACTCACCTCAGCCTCCCAAAGGCGCAGGATTACAGGCTGAGCCACCGAGCCCGGCTAAGGGCACCTTTAACAGCAAGCTCTGTGAACAACAGAGATCTCAGCTGCAGCTACATGGTGGCCAGAACTGTGGTTACTGGGACAGAGCACACATGAGTAAAAAAGGTAAATAAACCATTTCCACGATGATTCTAGAGGTTGGGTCAGAAATTCCAAGGATCATCACCACCACAATGTAAACCTACACAACACAGGACACAGGGCTAACCACAATGCTCCTTCCACCAACCACGGCCTGAAACTCTGTGGTTCTTCAACTGGGACTAAACACACATGATGGCTGTCATCTGGAACATCACTTCAGACACACAGGCACACGGTGGGGAGCGACCACCAATTTCATCCTTTGTCACCAAAGAGTTCAACTTTTAAAAATCATTCTCAGTGTCTGGCCCTTTAATGAAACCAAATATTGTACAAGGATATACACTTAGAATATCAGCCAAGGTTCTTTTTTTTCCCAAAGTAGGAAGCAAATTTATAAAATGAATTGTCATCTTTGTTCAAAACATTGAAGTAAAAGAATATCTAATTTTTTTAAAATCATAGGTAACCAAAGAAACTGCTAAATACAAGTCAATGATTTTGAAAAATGTGTTTTGTGTTTTACTTAGTGAATACATGGGATTGAGGAGATTTATAGATATTTAATCCTGGAACAGATGTTACCAAAATTGCTGGCAACAGGCTGTAGTCTCTCCCTCTTCCTATAGGGGGAGACACAAACTTACTGATTCAATTTTTGAAACTAAATACGTGTGGACAAACAGCCCTCCCCAAATGCCAAATAGTCCTAACTGCAGTTTATGAAGGAGGCATCTCTAAGAATAACTCACAAAAATGTCTCAAGTGAGCTGTAGGGTAAGGGCTTTGGCCCAGTATAGTGGTTAAGAACCAGTCCTTGAGCTGGGCTCGGTGGCTCAGCCTGTAATTCCACATTTTGAGAGCCCACGGGTTCGAGTCTCACCTGGACAACTTGGCGAGACCTCATCTCTACAATAAATCAAAAAAATTAGCCGGGCGTGGTAGCGTGCGCCAGTAGTTCCAGCTACTTGGAAGGCTGAGGCGGAAGGACCGCCGGAGCCCAGCAGGTCAAGGTTGCGGTGGCTGGGAGCGGCCACTGCACTCCAGTCTGGGCGACTGAGTGAGACTCCAACTCAAAAAAAAAAACCATTTTCTGGCTGCTGGGACCCAGTAATAAGTACCTAACTTCTATGTCTGTTTACTCAGTGAATAATAATGGGACTACCCACATTACAGGGTGTGTGGTGAGAATTAAGTAACTTAGCCCATGCTAAAAAAAAAAAAAAAAAAAAGACGCAGCCGGGCACAGTGGCTCAAGCCTGTAATCCCAGCACTTTGGGAGGCCAAAGTGAGAGGATTGCCTGAGCCCAGGGGTTCAAGACCAGCCTGGGCAATTTGGTGAGACCTTGTCTCTACAATAAATCAAAAATATTAGCTGGGCCGGGCTCAGTGGCTCAGCCTATAATCCCAGCACTTTGGGAGGCCAAGGTGAGTGGATTGCCTGAGCCCACGGGTTCGAGACCCGCCTGGGCAACTTGGCAAGACCGCATCTCTATAATTAATCAAAAATTAGCCGGGCATAAAAAAAAAAAAACAAAAAAAACTTAGCTGGGTATGGTGGTGCATACCTGTAGTTCCAGCTACTTGAAAGGCTGAGGTGGAAGGATTACCTGAATCTAGCAAGTTGAGGATGTGGTGGTTGTGGGCATGCCACTGCACTCCAGCCTGGGCGACAGAGTGAGACTCCAACTCATAAAAAAAAAGAGAGGTAGGCATAGCGGCTCACAACTATAATCCCAGCACTTTGCTTTGGGAGGCCAAGGCGAGAGGACTACTTGAGCCCACAGGTTCGAGACCGGCCTGGGCAACTTGGTGAGACCTCCTCTCTACAATAAAGCAAAAATTATCCTGGCATGGTGACACGTGCCTGTAATTCCAGCTACTCGGAAGACTGAGGCGGAAGGATTGCCTGAGCCCAGCAGGTTAAGGCTGTGGTGTCCAGGAGTGTGCCACTCCCCTCTAGTCTGGGTGACAGAGAGTGAGAGAGAAAGAAAAGAAAAGAAAAGGAAAGAAAGAGAGAGAGAGAGAGAGAGAGAGGAAGAGAAAGAAAGAAAGAAAGAAAGAAAGAAAGAAAGAAAGAAAGAAAGAAAGAAAGAAAGAAAAGTAAAGAAAGGCTGAGGTGGAAGAATCACCTGAGCCCAGCAGGTCAAGACTGCAGTGGCCATGAGCATGCCAGTACACTCCAACCTGGGTAACAGGATGAGACTCCTACTCAAAAATAAATAAATACATTAAATAAAAAATAAGATGCTAGCTGGGCTCGGTGGCTCAGTCTGTAATCTCACGCCTTGGGAGGCTGAGGTGAGTGGATTGCCTGAGCCCGCGGGTTTGAGACCCACCTGGGCAACTTGGAAGACCTCATCTCTACAATAAATCAAAAAATTAGCTGGGCGTGGTAGCGCGCACCTGTAGTTCCAGCTACTTGGAAGGCTGAGGTGGAAGGATCACCAGAGCCCAGCAGGTCTAGGCTACGGAGGCCGGCAGCAGCCACTGCACTCCAGTCTGGGCAACAGAGTGAGACTCCAACTCAAAAAAAAAAAGAAATAAGATGCTAATTTTTTCATAAGACAATTATCAATTCATCTTTAAAAGAATTTGGTTTCCCACTGGCTGGCTCTTAAGCCTTCTGAAAATTCCTTTGCTGGTGGCAGTCTGCCAGGCTCCCCACAGTGTACTGCTCCTATACTCTGCTCCAGTGTGTGTAAACACTCATTCCAGAACTGACGGAGACCGTGTTGAGTGCTTGAGGTTAGAAATGGCTTTGAAGCTGAGCACAGTGGTTCACGCCTGTAATCTCAGTACTTTGGGAGGCGGAGGCGAAAGAACTGCCCGAGCCCAGGGGTTCGAGACCAGCCTAGGGAACTGGAAAGACCCTTTCTCTACAATAAATAAAAAATTAGCCAGGTATGGTGGTACATGCTTGTAGTTCCAGCTACTTGGAAGAAAAATCACATGAGCCCAGCAGGTCAAGGCTACAGTGGCCATGACCATGTCACTGCACTCCAGCCTGCGTGTCAGAGTAAGAGTCTAACTCTTGTACTCTATATCTTTTAAATAAAATAAATATAAAAGACTCCAACTCAGCCGGGCTCAGTGGCTCGGCCTGTAATCCTGCACCTTTGGGAGGCTGAGGTGAGTGGATTGCCTGAGCCCACGGGTTTGAGACCCGCCTGGGCAGCGAGAACTCATCTCTACAATAAATAAAAAAATCAGCTCGAGCCGGGCTCGGTGGCTCAGCCTGTAATCCCGCGCCTTTGGGAGGCTGAGGTGAGTGGATTGCCTGAGCCCGCGGGTTCGAGACCCACCTGGGCAGCGAGACCTCATCTCTACAATAAATCAAAAAATCAGCCGGGCGTGGTAGCGCATGCCTGTAATTCCGGCTACTTGGAAGGCTGAGGCGGAAGGATCGCCGGAGCCCAGCAGGTCGAGGCTGCGGTGGCCGGAAGCGGCCACTGCACTCCAGTCTGGGTGACAGAGTGAGACTTCCCTCAAAAAAAAAAAAAAAAAAAAAAAAAAAATCAGCTCGGCATGGTAGCACATGCCTGTAATTCCGGCTACTTGGAAGGCTGAGGTGGAAGGATCGCCAGAGCCCAGCAGTTCGAGGTTGCGGTAGCTGGGAACAGCCACTGCACTCCAGTCTGGGCAACAGAGTGAGACTCTAACTAAAAAAAAAAAAAAAAGACTCCAACTCAAAAAAAAAAAAAGAAATGGCTACAAAAGCTGTCTTTTCCATATCCTAGCCCTGGGTACAGTGTAAGTTCTCTGCTGTCTCCGTCTATGCAAGTGCAAACAAAACTAGATTTGGGCTGTGCCAAGAACTACTCCATTTAGAGGGATCTATAAGTCAAAGGCCCAAAGATGTAAAGGGAAGGAGGTGTCTCCTTTCTGTACTGTATTCCTCAGTCAAAAACGAAAATCAAAACAAACTCCTAAAAACCTTTCTCAGCAGAGGCAAGTTTCTAAGATAGAGGTAAAGAGGGAAGGACAGCATGGGTGTGTTCCACAGTTTTCCAGAGTCAATGGCTGTCTGGGAGGAGTAGGCAAGTTCATATCTCACCCTATTCCATCTGGGTGAGGGACACACACACAATTACATGGAGTAGCCATGAAGCAGCACTTGGGAGGGACCTAGGTGACCTCTGTAATGTTACTACAGAGATGAAAACATCTGATCTCAGAGCTTGCAGAATGCTTAAGCTGGAAACAGTTGTTTTGTTATTTCTGCTGGAGATGGTACTATCATGGTACCTGCCTGAGAACACAAAGCCTGTGGCAGAGAAAGGATGAGCTCCCCCTTCTACCATCTTCTCATGGCCCCTCACACAGCAGTGACTCTACTTGAAAGGGTGTCTTTGACAGTAGCACCATCTGTAGGACCACTAAATAGGCCTTCTTCATAGGCAACAATTGTTGACAAAAGGCTGTGTACATGCTGAGTTATCAGAAAGTCTAGCTGTACAATGCCAGTAAATGTTAACCCATCTCTTGCACCCAGGGGGTGGGGCAAATCCACATGAGCACTTGTATTCTAGAGATACAAATAAGGGAAAAGCCCCTAGAATGTTTCTGCTGATCCTGCAACAGAAACTGCTAAGTACTCACACGAAAATGTCATCCCGGGGCATGATGTGGTTTAAACCTTCATCCATTTGGAAAATTTTGTGGAACCGGTGATTATACACATCTGTGACCACCATCTAAGAATCAACAGTAACAGAAAAATCACAGGATGGCTAAGAGTGCCCCTACTAACTGCTTAAAACCCAGAATCAAAAAACACCCTACTCAAGTGTTACCTCTAGAGAAAGTACTATGCAACAAGCCCCAGAGCTAGGGACCAAGGTCAGGTAGAAGCAGCAGGGCTGCCACCAGAACTGAATATACTAGTAACATCTGCCTTCATGTGATAGGAAGGATGAGGACTGAGTACTGACCAGAGACTAGTAAATGTCCAGAAGCCTCTGGGGTATTTCAGGGCCCGAAGTTTCCAAGCTACACTTGGCACACAGCGCTGAGAGCAGAACCCTACTCCTGGCCCTCTAATCATGACAAGTATAAACCCAATGAAGGAAAGATGATGTTTACTGGAGCTGGAAGGGACAGTCTCAGCCACAGTGTGCACAGTGAGTAAGGGCTGGGAGCAGTGAGGCATCCTGACACACAATCACATTTCTGCTGGCCAATAACAACTTCCCCCAAAAAGTGGCTTGAAAGTTGAATGTAAACTCCAAAGGAATATGAAGTACCCCAAATAGTCTGAATATCACCTATCACCCCGCCTTACATTTTCTGCAGCAATGCCAGACAGTCTGGAGAGAGCCTCGCACAGGTCAGACACAGCCCCCATCAACGGCACAGTCACACGGTACTGCAAGGGAGACATAGTCAAGATGACAGGGTACTCCAAAGGGTGGGAAGTGAGTTGCGAGGAGCAGGCCCTCCAGCCCTTTCAGAGGTGACCCTTCAGAAACAGTGTATGGTGAAGTCTGGACACAGATAAGTCAGCAGCAGAGCAAATAATAAAGACTTCTGCGTCAACACCTGCTTTAATATTCAGACAGTAGCATGAGAGCTGGGCCATCTCTTTACCTCCCAAACACTGCTTCACTTTATTCTTAGATTTTTGGAGCAGTTCACAACTTCCTTTAAAGAACTGTTTAAAAAAATTTTTTTGAGGTAGGATCTCACTTTGATGCCCAGGCTAGATCTCTTGGGCTCAAAAGATCCTTCCACCTCAGCCTCCCCAGTGGCTAGGACTACAGGCACATACCACCATACCTGGGTCATTTTTTAATTTTCTGTAGAGACAAGGTCTTGCTATAATGCCCAGGCTGGTGTTGAACTCCTGGACTCAAGCAATCCTCCCGCCTTGGCCTCCCAAAGTGCTAGGATTACAGACAGGAGCCACCATGCCTAGTTGAATTGTTAAAATTTTTTAAAATTACTCAAAATATTCAGGTTTACATGTTAGCTCTCACCCATACCTCACAGTTCAAGGTATATTCTATAGATCAGTGACATTATACTAACATGTAATTACAATGTACTATGCAGCCAAAATGATTCAAGAAGAAAAATAAACCTGGAGAGGGTGGGGGTAGACACAACATCAATAAGGGTACCTGATATCAAACCAGGCAAAGTGGGGACCAAAGGGAGGCCCAAACTTTACCTGTACAATGAATGACCATGTGTATACCTAATCCTGAATTGTACCCCACATCTTTAAAATTAAAAGTAAAAAATTAAAAATAAAATAATAACCTATAGTACCTATTTATCTTTATACAGGAAACTACTAAAATTACTCTGCTTTTATTTATTTATATTTTAATTTTCATTTGAGTTGAAGTCTCACTCTATTGCCCCGGCTGGAGTGCAGTGGCATGCTCACAGTCACAGCAGCCTAGACCTGCTGGGCTCAGGCGATCCTTCCGCCTCAGCCTTCCAAGTAGCTGGAACTACGGGCGCGTGCTACCACGCCTGGTTGATTTTTTTATTTATTGTAGAGATGAGGTCTCGCTGCCCGGGCGGGTCTCGAACCTGCGGGATCAGTCAATCCACTCACCTCAGCCTCCCAAAGGCACGGGATTACAGGCTGAGCCACCGAGCCCGGCTCTGGCTAATTTTTTATGTATTGTAGAACAAAGTTTCACCAAGTTCCCCAGGCTGGTCTTGAACCCCTGGGCTCAGGAAATCCTCTCACTCTGCCTCCCAAAGTGCTAGGATTACAGGCGTGAGCCACCGCACCCAGAGTTACTCTGCTTCTAACATTTGCACTTAGATAAAATGTTTATGTACATATAAGAATGTCACAGTGCAAGATACTGCTAGCCCAGGCACAAACCATTAAAATTATTTTGTAAAGGTTGGTAGTTGTATTAAAATTATTATGCCAGTATAACCTCAAAACAAATAAATAAAAATAAGGAATTGTTAAAATTATACCAATTGCCATCTGGCCCTACAAACAGTGAACTATCAGAGAGCTATAGACACTAAGACCTGCTGCTTATACCTCTCATCTGGCCTCCTGTTCTGGACAGACTCTCCTGATTTTTTTTTTTTTTGAGTTGGGAGGTCTCACTCTGTCACCCACGCTGGAGTGCAATAGCATACTCTTGACCACCGGAGCCTCAATCTGCTGGACTCAGATGAACCTTCTGCCTCAGCCTTCCAAGTAGCTGGAACTACAGGCACGCATCACCATGCCCGGCTAATTTTTTTTTTTTTTTTTCTGAGTAGGAGTCTTACTCCATCGCCCAGGCTGGAGTGCAGTAGCATGCTCATGGCCACCCCAGCATCGACTTGCTGGACTCAGGCAATCCTTCTGCCTCAGCCTTCCAAGTAACAACTACAGGCACACGCTACCACATCCAGCTAATTTTTTTTATTTATTGTAGAGATGATGTCTTGCCAAGTTGCCCAGGCTGGTCTTGAACCTGTAAGCTCAGGCAATCCTCTCACCTCGGCCTCCCAAAGTGCTGAGATTGTAGGCGTGAGCCATAGCACCCAGCCTTCCTAGCTGATTTGAGGGTGAATCTGACTAAAGAAAGTACCCCAACATTCAGATTCAAGGATGAGTTAGCAGACCTACCAGCTTACTTTAGTTGCATGGGAAAAAAAGTGATAGAGCATCACGATAGGCCTTAAATGATATGGGATTACAGAAAGGTCTGATGGAGGCCAAGGGCACACACTTGGCAAGCGCCAAGGGGAGCTGGGCGTGGTGGCTCACGCCTGTAATCCCAACACTTTGGGAGGCCAAGGTAAGAGGATTACCTGAGTCCAGGGGTTTGAGACCAGCCTGGGTAACTTGGCGAGACCTATCTCTACAGTAAATCAAGAAAAATTAGCTGGGTGTGGTGGCGCATGCCTGTAGTTCCAGCTACTTAGAAGGCTGAGGCTGAAGGATCACCTGAGCCCAGCAGATCGAGGCTACAGTGGCCTTGAGCATACCACTGCACTCCAGCCTGGGCAAGAGAGTGAAACTCAGACTCAAAAGACAACAAAAACAAAAATGCCAGCCAGGTACGGTGGCTCATTCCTGTAATCTCAGCACTTTGGGAGGCAGAGGCAAGAGGATTGCCTGAGTCAGGGATTTGAGACCAGTCTGGGCAACCTGGCAAGACCTCGTCTCTACAATTAGCCAGGTTGGGCATAGTGGCTCACGCCTAAAATCCCAACACTTTGGGAGACTGAGGTGAGAGGACTGCCTGAGCCCACAGGTTTGAAAACAGCCTAGGCAACTTGGTGAGACCTCATCTCCACAATAAATTTTTAAAAATTAGCCAGGCATGGTGGCACATGCCTGTAGTTCCAGCTACTAGGAAGGCTGAGGCAGAAAGATCCCCTGAGCCCACTGGGTCGAGGCTGCAGTGGCTGTGAGTGTACCACTACACTCCAGCCTGGACGGGAGTGAGACTCCAACTCAAAAAAAAAAAAAGCCATAAAGTTCAAGGGTCAGCTAATGTAGTTTCCAATGCAACAGAAAGGAGCAATTTGACTGGGGTATGGAGACTACTCACAGTGAGGGGTGCCATGAGGGTGCAGATTCTGTTACCTGGGTAGGTCTGCAGTAAGGGTCAGCAGGAACCAGGAAGACCTCCATAACTCTATCTTTCTTCAAGGGTAATGGGAGAGTTAGATAGCAAAATGGGTCAAAGGTCACAGAAACCTTAGCACATTCTGGGCAAACCAAAGTAGATTTGAAGAGTCCGTGGAAAGTGTCCACAATCACAGAATCATTCCTTAACCTGTGATTCTCCCAGGCTTCTTTTGCCACCACCTGGAAGAAAGGAGAAGGGATAAACAGGGCATTCTCAACATCTCTCATCCTTTTCTCCTGCATTCAGAATGATTCACAGCAGACTCTGAGATGGAACAGAAGTAGTCTGTATAGCTGAGAGCTTGCTCCAGGCCAGGTGGGGCCAGGACTGCTCTTAATGTATCATACACATATCACATGTCATCTCTATACCCAATTGCCCCACTTAGTATGGTATCAACATAGGATCTATGGAAAATAAGGGGTCTCTGTGTTCTCTGATAGGAAACAGAAGCCCTAGGAGCACCATGGTCACACAGATGTGACCAGGGCAAGAAAAGCCTCTCATGTGTTTATAATTATCTTTTGTTTTGTTTTGTTTTGAGTTGGCATCTAACTCTGTCACCAAGGCTGGAGTGCAGTGGCATGCTCATAGCCACTGCAGCCTTGACCTGTTGGGTTCAAGCAATCCTTACCTCAGCCTTCCAAGCAGCTGGAAATACAGGTGTGCACTACACACCCAGCTAATTTTTTTTATTTATTGTAGAGATAAGGTCTTGCCAAGTTACCCAGGCTGGTATCAAACCTATGGGTTCAGGCAATCCTCTCACCTTGGCCTCCCAAAGTGCTGGGATCATAGGCGTGAATCACCATGCCAGGTCTCTAATGATCTAAAGTAAGGTGATTTGCCATGCTCAGTGCCGCACACCTGTAATCCCAGCATTTTGGGAGGCAGAGACGAGAGGACTGCCTGAGTCCAGGGGTTCGAGACCAGCCTGGGGAACATGGCAAGACCTTGTTTCTACAATAAATCAAAAAATTAGCCAGGCAGGGTGGTGCATGCCTGTAGTTCCAGTTACTTGAAGGCTGAGGTGGATGGATTGCCTGAGCCCAGCAGGTAGAGGCTGGCCATGAACGTGCCACTACACTCCAGCCTGGGTGACAGAAAGACACACACACACACACACACACACACACACACACACACACACAGTAAGATGATTTAAGTAAGGTGATTTTTTTTGTTTCTTTTGAATCGTGGTCTTACTCTATCACCCAAGCTGGAGGGCAGTAGCATGATCACGGCTCATTGCAGCCTCGACCTCCCAGACTCAAGTGATCCTTCTGCCTAAGCCTCTTAAGTAGCTAAGACTACAGGTGTATGCCACCACACCTGGCTAATTTTTTTTTTTTTTTTTTTTTGAAGAGAGGAGGTCTTACTATGTCACCTAATCTGGTCTCGATCTCCAGGTTCAAGCAATTCTCCTGCCTTAAACTCCCAAAGTGCTGGGATTACACGTTTGAGCCATTGCACCTGGTTAAGGTAAGGTTTTAGTCTACATTATAGTTCAAATAACTCATAGTTTTTCCATGAAGATTTAAATGCTACATTAAAACATTCATATTGATCATTCCAATGTGAAAGGGTAGCTGAGATACTAAAATGCTCTTTCAGCGATCAGAAAAATCAAGGCAAAAAGTGTAAATGCCGGCTGGGCACAGTGATTCATGCCTATAATCTCAGCACTTTGGGAGATTGAGGTAAGAGGACTGCCTGAGTCCATGGGTTCTAGACCAGCCTGGGCAACTTGGTATGACCATAAATCAAAAAATTAGCCGGGAGTGGTGGCACATGTCTGTAGTTCTAGCTACGTGTAAGGCTGAGATGGAAGGATCACCCAACCCCAGCAGGCTGAGGCTGCGGTGGCCGTGAGGGTACCACTGCACTCCAGCTTAGGCACAAAGTGAGACTAACTCAAAAAAAAAGGAAAGAAAAAAGTGTTAAATGCTCTAAAAATATCAATAACAAATTATTTTAATAATCTTGGATGAGCCGGGCTCGGTGGCTCAGCCTGTAATCCCATGCCTTTGGGAGGCTGAGGTGAGTGGATTGCCTGAGCCCGTGGGTTTGAGACCCGCCT